TCGAATCACTGGCACATTCAATATCTTCCAGATATTCGTCATCTAAGAAGCGCCTGGCCTTTACCAACCCCGTCGGGACGGTGTGATGATCAATATTACCAATGGTTTTCCCGGACTTCAACACGTGGTGATTCATTTGCAGTCGCGTGAACATTGGCATCTTCTCCAACGACGTTCCCCATCCAGTAGTTGGAAACTCTGCAGCCGCTGTACTTTCCTTGACAAGCTCTGAACTTGTGCCTTGCTTTTGCTTTCTACGGCTATATATTTTATGTGGATCTGGATCTATGATCTGTTTGTCCTTGCCGCTTCGTATGTACTCGTACACTCGTTTCACTAGCTCCGCTTTTGTCTTCAAACCTTTCCCTGTGTCTCCGCGACATTTCAGCCAGAATTTAAGTTCTGAGTTTTTCAACTCCTCAGGTTTTCGTCCAAGTAGAGAAGCGCCGGGAATATCGTTTTCCGTAAGAGGAATCGCATTTGAATTGCTTGAATTGTCCGTTGTACTCGCCATTTTCGGTGCTTTTGGCCGTGCTTGTGTTGTAAACAACAAGAGAAGCGACGCGACGCTGGCCTTTCTGGCCTCGTTTTCACGCCGCTCGAACCAGGTTTCGCGCGGGGTCCGCCATTATGAAAGTCGTGTATACCATGTTCTCCATATATGGTCAATGTACGCGTCAGTTTAAAATCGGAAGCTAGCAGAGATTTTTTTTCGCGAAGGATAGAACGGCGCCTCAAGCAAATCGTTTTAATTCATTTCTTAGAATACTAGAAATGCAATTTCATCGAAAGAAAAAAGACAAAAACAAACAAAAAAGCCACAAGAGCTTGTTTGAAAGTTTGTCGAAAAACACATGAAAGTACATGGAACTAAAGTACCTTGACCAGCTACGGAAAAAGACAGGTGTTGCTTCTTCATGATCGCGAAGCCATTCGCCGATCGAGTCACTCGCCGATAGGTAACTGCGGCTTGTTTATCCGACATCAAGAATATAAATCACAAGTAATCAGCTACAAATACAGGCTATGCAGCCATTCACTAGAGCAATCGAGGTGGCAGTATAACTTCTTTTCTCGTTCAGCAAAACCAGCTTGTGGCTTCAAACAACTTCATAACAAGCGACCGAGGTAATAGTTTTTCTCCTTTGTTCTTACTTTTGTAACTGGACCGAAAATCCAAATTCACAGTAATTTCGACGGCTGTCACTTAAAAATTCTTTTCCTTCACATTATCTGCCAGGTTTTTTTAGCTGTCCTGCTGTGTAAAATCCTAGAATCTCGATGAGTTTTTAAAAAATTAATGTTTATCGCTGCAATGTTTTGATTTTTCATTCATACAGTCCAGGCGAGTCCGTTCGCGCGTTGACAGTTTTGATAGACGTGTGACATGTGTGTCTTTTCCGGTTTGTTCTAGTAGAGGAGATTCAACGAGTTTTTGTGGGCGTTTTTAATAAAACATTTATTCCACTCGCGATTGTTGGATATGAGATGATTCTAGCCAACTCGGCGCTACGCGCCTCGTTGGCTATCTATCATCTCATATCCATAATTGTTAAATATCCAGGCCATGGGAAACACACTGGTGCCTAAGAATATCTGCTGCTCTTTCATTTCCTTTCCCTCGTTTTAATTTGAAAACTTTGAACGTTAACGATCATTTGCAGGTCACGTGTCTGACCAATATTTCAACAATGAATATGTCACATATTGTTAAGGCCACCGAGCTAAAATTGTTTGCCAAGTTTCATAACGACTGATCAAAACAATCCGTTTCAAATGCCGCTTTGCCAAATTATGCAAATTAGGAGGTGACCCGTGCCTTAACATGCCTGTGTGGCATAAGAAATGTCAGCAATATCAAGAAAAAGGAGATGAACAAGCTTTTCAAGGGATTAAATCGGGTCTGATTAAAATAATTATGTGATGTGCTTTAGGTATTTTAAGGATAAAAGTAAGCTACTTTGGATTGTTTGTGGTTATCGACAATGAAATAAAAGCTCTTAACCATAATTTACTCAAATTGTCTTGTTTCTTGTAATTTTTACAGAGTTAACATAATGAATGCAATGTTAAAATAGAATTACATTTCTCTGATAACTGCGATTTATGTCTGATCTCAGTCAATTCCAAGCGTGCCCATTCCTCCCCCATCTGAGTGTTTGTCCAGCATTCCTGGGTTGCACGGTGGGGCACACTGTGGAACTAAAAGGTAAGCTACTGGGATTATTTGTCGCTATTTTCATGATCAGCCAATCCAAGAATCAATGAATTTTCAGCTACGTCATTTGACTGTGTAGTTTTCGGGCCAAACAGAGGTTTTCATCACGTTTTGAGACTCTCAGGAAATGGCTATAAACGCGGACCTTTCTTCAAACGAAAGATCTATGTCCTGAAACGAACAAGAAGTGGAAGCGTTTTTAGAGAAAGAGGAAAATGAAAACCAAAAAAGACGAACGAAAAATGCCATCGCATATCCATATTAAAGACTATTAAAATGCAGTACTGACAGAAGGCATCGAAACCAGTAGACAGAAATAGTATTAATGATATTCTGTTCGAAAACCTGATTGTTTTCCAATATCGTTAGGGTTCTGTCTTATTTGTTCTTCTACTAATTCCCTTTGCGCGAGTCGAATTTCCCGTTTGACTTCATGTTTAAAATTTTTTCGGTTTTCTTCTTCTTCTTCTTTTTCTTCTTCTTCTTCTTTTTCTTCTTCTTCTTCTTATTATCATTATTATTAATATCATTACCGTGTTGTGTTGTATCGCATATAAAAAATGAACTGCGCTTGTTTAATTTTGAGGATTTTGTAAGCTTCAGAAAATGGTCAAAATTGGCTTATAAAAATGGCGTCTGAGGGGGTCGATTAAAGTGATGCTTGTATCTCTAATACAAGAGCACTGAAGGATCTATCTTCTTATATTTGTCCCGTTACTCCACCTGACCTTTCTGTGATGTTAGTACGAACTTATTCTGTTGACCCCCTTCCGTTGACATTTTTAACATTTTGCCCGGTTTTCTCTGACAACTGAACGACTCCTAACAAAATGTTCCATTGGAGATATTCGGTAACCTTAAAAATGCAATTTACAGTACTAAGCAGAATTTAGAACAATAGTTGTTTACCTAAAAAAGCACCTACAAAAACAATAAGTCTAATTAAAGTTATCCACTGCCACGAAATCGTTTGAAAACTCAAGAAAACACAAGAAAGGGTTAAAAACAAGTTAAGTAGTCATTTAATGGAAAATATCAACGAAGGACCAATTTGAGGTCAAAAATGTCAAACTGCACAAATTTCGCAGCACAAGCAGAGCTTTGTTATCTACTAAAAACTCAAATTAAATAAAAAAAAATTTTCGTTTGGGAAATATCTATATGTACTGGGAAAATATCATGAAAACAATTTGACTCATTTTAATTGGTATTCAACTCCTACGTAATAATACCGATCAAATTACATCCTCTACCCAAATGAGAAAATGACTTCCTACTGATTGTTAATAAAAAGGAAAAGGCTGTTTAGAGGTAGAGTTATGTTAGCTACTTATGGTATTTACTACTAACGATACATGTTTGTACTTAAGTTATTTTGAGAGTCCTTCACTGTTGATTATCTTAGTAAGTTATCTTACTAGCTCATAGTTTTGACTTATAGTTAGTTTAATTGGTGATCGATAGAAAGTTTCTCCTGACAATGAATTCGGTGATTCGGTCCTATTTTGGTGCATCTCGGAGGTAACAATTCTTTTTATAAAAGTATGTAGATCCCAAGCACCAAATAAAATTTCCTTAACAATACTTTGTCGAAACATGCGCACTCAACGGACATTCCTCATCGCTTTCATTTTTATTGTTTAACTCAACGTTGTTCTATGGGCTAGTTAAAAAAGAAAGCCATCGGAGAGTTATGTGTTGGTATTCAGTGGTAACGTTTATAACGTGTAGGAATGCGCGGATAAACTTCCTCCATTTGCAAAAGCTGAGGGCTACTGTACGCAACTGCATAAATTATGCTGGGATGAAAGGGTTTAAATCAGCGTAACGTTCGTCACTTGCTCAGTCAGTATCTACTTGAGGAAAGTATTCTGTCCTGGATGAGCTCTCAGATCAATTATCAATCACAAATTCCAAAAAAAAGGTATGTATCAATTAATGCAGCTACTTTATTTGTTCATCAAGTAGACCTTCTCTACAAAGATTTTCAAGGGTAAGGATCATAAAATACAAACACTCAGATGAAAGCTTTACTCTGTTGGTTGCGTTGTAGACTTCATTTCTTTAAGCCGGCCCATTTCTGTTATCTTGGCAAAAAAAATTATAGAACGAAAGCACTTCCTTCAATCCAATTTGTTTTAAACCGAGTACCAAGCGTTGTCTCTGGGGTATAATGCAAAGAAATGGGTTTTCTTGACTTTTAAGAACTGTTTTTGTGTCAGACGTACATGTGCTCCAATGTGACCCACTAGAGATGTTTTAGTAGCTGAAAACTTTTTTTTGACACCACCCTAATTGCAAATGTTCCCGGCTAAGAGACACACCCGCTACATTTCACGGTTGGCAAAAATTAAAATATATACAAATAAATGAACAACAAATAAACCACACCGAAATATATACATAAAATACAACCTCATTCAGCGTTGTCAGTGTGGCTGTACACTGTTTATGTCCTTAGGGTTTTGTTTACTTTATTTTAGAGTAAGTCAGAGAGAAAATGGCCATGGCCACGAAATACTTACTTAAACTTGGATGAGAACATGCAAAAGACTCAAACTCTGTTTTGGAAGTTTTGTTATCACTACCAGCATGTAATTTAGTTTGCTTCAGGTTTCTGGTTATTGGAGATACAAGAGTTCTTGGTTCCCAGAAAAATTTATTATTTAGTAATTTAGTATTTTGAACGTTCCCATTAGTAAGTATATCATTTGTGGTGGCTATTCTTTGATCACTTTAACAACAAAGTGGTTTGAACATTGCCTTCTAGAGACCATGAATGTAAAGTTTTTGGTGGTGGTATTGTTGGCAGTTGCTTTTGCTGTGATAACTGCTTCATCTGAAAAGCATCTTTTTAAAAATGAAGGTAAGCAGTAAAAAATCTAGGCACATGTAGTTATTACTATGAATAGTCCAAGGATATCAATTTAAGATTTCATGGCCATTTTCATACATTATTTAGCACTAGAATCGTTCTCTCTCGTATGGATGAGTGTTATTTCTGCTATGAGGAATGAATTTCAACAAGATCGATACAATCTATGGATAATAAACATGCTTATCTTTTGAACGCTGTAAATGTCTTAACCTTAAAATCGTCATATTGAATTCCCTTGACCTGAAGAATGTTTAAATACTATGGACTACTATGCTTCGTCGGGGGTTTTCGAATCAGTATGAAGAGACCTTCTTTAAAACCTTTCACAAAAGTGTAACAAACTCTTCCCGTCTTCCATCATTCATCTTGATGATATTTCCTGGAATAGTATTATCGCAAATAGAAATAACATTTCTTCCCTTTGAATTAAATAGCACTAACGCAAATGGTAACGTGGAACAATTTCGGTGTTTCCGATATAATTGCAGAGGGAGCTGAAGAGAATAACCGACGCAGACAGGGAGGGGTACAGAAGCGTAGTTCGCCTAG